TAAGATAAATTCAACAAGTATACATATATGTAGTAACGAGTGACCGACTAGGAGATACCCTGCGCCAACCACCTGTGTATTTGTGTGTCCAAGAGTATCTCCCAATGGCCTGTGGAATTCGTTAATTTATATTTGCTCAACTCACATTCAAACCAGAGTTTTATGGGAATTACCTAAGTTTCAGTGCTCAAAATAATTAATTTGAAGTCTGTTAACAAATTGGAAAATATGTAAAGTATTTTTTTGTTAGTCATTTGCATTTAAGTAGAAGCTACCAATTAATTTGGCCAATAACTCATTTTCGTAGGGACTAAAGATATTCATTTAAAAATATATACTTGATTGGTTTTTCGCATGGGTAACGCTCATGACATTTTATATTATAACACTTTTTTTCGACATATTTACATATGCACGTAGATACAAATGTATCTGTGTCTATATAAATGTTAAGTTATCTGAACGATGCTAGAGCACAAGTTATTCCAGTGCCGTGTAACAGGTGAAGAGTGGGTTTGTTTTGCGCATTCACAACATATATGTATGTATATACATATTTGCATACATATATTTATTATATACATACACTTCATATATATGAAATAATTTGATATATATACACATTTGTATACGTACATATATGTATCTTAAAAGGAGTTATGTAGTTTTGACATATACATATATACAAATATATGTGTATGAAATTTATATACTTATATATTGAGTAAAATAATGAAAATGTTAACAGAATATTAAACTGATATGTATATAGATATTCGCACATATATCTATTAAAATTATAGATATGCGTGCATGAATACATAAATAAATTTCATAAATATGTATTCGCATATGTATACTCATCTTTACATATGTGTCGCGCATATACATATATAAATATATATATAATATATATATCTACATATATACATATTTGTACGAATGTATTTGTATGTATATATATTGGTGTGTTGTAGATATGTCTACATAGAAGTCAATCATGCAACGTTTTATTCAAATTTATTTAATCTCTTAAGGTTTTCTTTTCTTTTTGCCTTTATTTTATTTTTTCGTTTCTTTTTGGTAGTTTTAACTTTTTAAGGATTGAAAGGTCAGACGTGTTATACGTATTTTTCAGCACAAGGAACTATATATAATTATGTATCTATGAATACACAATATTTGCAATATTCGATTAGGCAAAAAGTCGCATTTATTTTGTTTATGGTATATTTTTTGACATCATAAAAATCAAAAATTTTCATTTGCTATATGAACTTCATTAATTTTTAGAGGCAATGTCAAGTATATAAATCTACCTTGATTACACATATGTGTAAAATTCCACTAGTTATTAATCATATACATTAAGTGGACAGCTGATCTCAACAATTGCCTTGACTTGCCACATTATAAAACTAATCCGATTTTTAACTTTTCTTCAATAACTAAAAAACTCACTTTTATGTATTTTTATTTTATGTATCAACCTAGAGATGTACTACAATCGATAGTTTTTACACTACGGACTTATCGTTTTTCTAGAGATGCCAAGAATACACAAAAAATGTGCTTGACATGTGAACAATATTTATAATAATTATTAATTATATAGGAACAACATAGAATAGCCAATTAATTAATTGTTCATAATGCGATATTTGCAAATAAATATCGGTTAATTGAACTGGTAAAATATGTCTGTTTAAACTGCAAATGTTTTAACCCACGTAGAAAATAAAAAAATTCAGAAGAAAATTACCATGGTATATATAATAAAAACATTCAAATTCGGAGCATTATTCCCAACTTTAATTTATATATCAACTGCATTTTAAATATTCGTTTGCTTAATTTTTGGTTAACCACATAACGTGCTTTCTATATGCATATCGCATTTTTATCGATTACTACGCCTCCCTCTATTTCATTGCTTAACAATAAATTAACGTGGTTCTTATGTAAAAATGAAAAGGAAAATTATATAAACAAAACAATACCTTTATATAACATAAATATCCTATTTAATTACATTTCTTATTTATCAATGATATTTACATATTATATATCAACATGGAGTGTTTTACTGCAGAGAAATGTTATTTCTTGTAACCGTTCTCAGATTAATAATCCGTACTTGGATCGTTAGGTGCTTCCAACAAGTAGTTGCAAAACTTAGGCAACATCGGAGTCATCTTTAATGCCTACTTGTTTGTTATGTTATATATATTGTATAATGATCATCCAATTAAAATAATTAAAAATATTAACAATTCTTAAACAGCCTAATATCAGATATAAGTATTCTGACATTTATATTCTATTTCGAATGTCAATTTCCGATTAAAATTTCTAGAATTCTGTTTTCAGATATTACAAGGAAAACTTATTTATATGGAATATAATTTCGTTTATAATCTCTCATTAATTGTAATAAATAAAACAACAAAGTTGACTTTTCGAAAAACTTTCAAAAATAAAAACAGCAGAAAATTGAAATTCGTTTCAAACTGAATTTACTTTTCTATGAAAAGTGCAAATTCTATTTCTAAATTTTTGGCGAATCTCAATATTTATGATTATACAATATAGGTGTATAAATATTTATATATAATCTACTTGTACATATATTTATGTGTGTAAATATTCGCGATTATTATTGTTGTTATTATTATATATTTATATGCATATACATTCATTTACATACATATGTATGTATATAACATAAACTGATTTTAAGTAGCACAGGCACTGACCTTTTAGCTAAAAACAACAAAAATATGAATACACTAGCCCAGATTGCAACCCGGATACTTTTTATCTAAAATATGTTAGCTATACATATTTGCACACAGATGTACAACATATCTAACTACGTAAATATATCATCTATATAAATACTTAACACTTTGTCATAAAGCTTATTAAGCTAACATGTCAATATTTTATATTTAATATAGTGTATTATATTTATATTTAATATAGTATATATGTATGCTTAGACTTTTTCCTCCATTTAATTTTTACACAATCTTAAACTGGTTTATATAACTATATGCAGATTTAATCAAAGCTTGGGAATATGAGTGAGTAAAATATATTATATATTTGTGAATATCTATATAATAATAAATAGGCAGGTAGGCGAGTTGTCTAAGTGAACCAATAATGGAACAAGCTGGCTCAAATCCCAGATGTGATATAGTAGTAGTAGTGGCGTAGACCGACAGTTTTGATAGTCTAACTATGCACAATGACAACAATAACAATAATAAAATTAGTTTTGGTGTGATTTTTTCCCTTTTTTAGCATAATTCACTTGCCATACATATATTTATTTATATATATATAAGTTAACACAATCGACCAGCAAAACATAAATGTTCAGATTGAT